GGAGGAAACTGAAAGAAAATTAGAATTTGAGACTAATAGCAGATGCATTGACAGAAACTGGGGGAAGGAGTAGAGGGGGTGTATATTCAGTGGATGTGGACTGTCTTGATCCAGCCTTTGCTCCAGGGGTATCTCACATCGAACCAGGAGGCCTTTCCTTTCGTGATGTTCTCAACATCCTACACAACCTCCAAGGCAATCTGGTTGGTGCAGATGTGGTAGAGTTCAACCCACAACGTGACACTGTTGATGGAATGACTGCAATGGTTGCTGCTAAGCTTGTAAGAGAACTGGTGGCCAAGATGTCAAAATGATAAGTTTTGTCTCTGTGTCAATGTCTTTGGATTTTAGAACAAAAGCTGCCCTGCCCTCCAAGGAATCAAAATATGCCTTCATGCCAGCAACAGGAAAGATCTATCTTCTACTTATATTTCATTTCTGTTTAGCTAAACGTATGACAATGCTACTCCATCTTATCTGAATAAGATAGGCCATTATTATCAAGTTTTTAATCATAATCCGCGTTGGTCCTTGGTTGTCTACTTATTATGTTCATGCATATTCTTATTTAAAATCAAATATCTCAATTATCTCTAAAATCATATTTTATACCACATCTTAATTGCCATAATATTATGCTTCAAATCTCAAATAAATTCATTATATTAAAGTTGGTATAACTCAATTGCATCAAAGTTGGACTCATTAAAAAGACAAAATAGTCTAATTAACCCAAAAACATATATCTGATGTAAAAACTATGCTTTTAAGTTATATAATCAAATACCTCAATTATCCTTCACAATCATATTTATATCAAATTTTGTTTGCTTGTAATAGATGAGTTAGATCATTTTACATATTGAATAGATTTTCCCAGGTGGGGACTGAGCAAAATTTTTCAAGCCGCCCTAATCAAATTTTCAAGCTAATCTTGTTGAGAATATTTTAATAAAAAATACTTATTTTTATTTAATTTAATTTTTTTACTAGAGAATATTAAGATAAAATTTAATATTAAATTTAAAATTAAATGATACTACATAGAGCTGGATCTGTTTGGCAAGGTTTTATTCTTTTAAAGGTTTTTAACCACGTCCAACTCGACTCATGGACATATTATATAATATGACGTACGATGTACAGATAAAAAGGATTTTGAGTTTGAATTGCAACATTTATATCAAATAACGGCCTCTTTTATTAAAAAAAAAATTACCCAAAAGTCTATTAAGAATAATAAAAGTGACACCTACAAGTATTCACCCAACATTTTGCTACTAAAAGTATCGGATGATATCCAAAAAAAATGAATGTTAATGTAGTTTTCAAATTCACTAGGATGCATGCGCGAGAATTACAAGGTAAAGAATTTATTCACATCATCTCTAATGTTTTTCTTTTTCTTTACCTGCAATCACTGTATGCTGCTCGGCACTGGAGTTACTTATTCTTTTGCGTAAATAGATGAACAACACTGCCACACACACAAAAGAAAGAGATCGATCAACTTCCGCTTCCAAATTGCTTCTGTATGTCGTTGAACGATACTGTGGCGGAACCCCTCCTTTTGGCCTTCTGTTGAGAAGGATGTTCTTTCCACCCTGTCATGTAGATCACCTACAAGAGAAATGATGATGTCAAAACTCAAAACATTTCGTCTTGTAAAACATGATTTTATGATTTTTAATCATTCATTCCAAGAGTCATGTCAGACCTTCAATTTGATAGAGCTTATGAAATCCTAATTACAGTGACAAGTAATGAAAATCTCACCTTCCCCGAGTGTTACTTACAAAAAGCAAGGCTATTATCTTTCACTGAATGAGTTTCGAGTGTGTTTACAAAGGCTGAGGCGATCAACTCATGCCCATAGAGAAGAGAGTGGGGTTAATAGTTTTTAGCACACTAGTGCATATAACTTTGGTTGACACTGCAATGCTCCACTTAAACATCCTCAAAAGAAATTTGGTAAATATAAATTTGGTTACATAATCACAGGTAGTCTGTTCCAAGCCCATAAACCGCTTCTATCTCATGATTATAAACTCAAGACATTCAAGTTACACTTATGTTCTAACTGTTGGAGTGTCTCTTTGAGACCTGGAATATCCTCAATGTATGCCTCCAAAATGCTGCTACTTACTAAACAACATATAATTTAATCTCCTTAAAACTACGATGAAAATTTTACTTCTCATCGTAGTATCTTCTGGTCAAACTGGATTTCTTCTCATGATGGTTACCTAATCTTCAGGTGAATCCTTTGATGGTAATGGCTTTAGAAGGTATAGACTACAGAGAAAGGCACGGCAGAGAGAGGTCAAATCTTTTTGAAATCCATGTGACTGAATTGAACATCAGCAAACAATGTAAACCAGCTATTTAAATCGTTCAACATAGATTATATGCCCATTTGTACATCCAGGCTTTGCACTTATCTAAGAAGGTGAAGAGCTTCCAGTATGAAGGAATTTTGTAATATACAGAAGCTTAAGTCTCATTAAAAATATATACATAACAGTAGACTTGCCCCTAAAATATAAATAAGGATATATTTGGAGCAAAAATAAATTCAGTACATTACAAAAACCCCTATAAAACCCCATTTCCTACTTTCACTAAGTCATTCCAAAATCTCCCCTTTCTTTCTTTGACTAATATATCTTCTGTCTGTCAATAGTCACAATAAAGCTGACTTCTTAAACAAAAGTGGCCACCCCTTGACGTTTGGCTTTTTCCTCTCTTTTTTGACTTTTCTATACATCCAAACCTTCAAAGTTTAGAACCAACATCCCCAATAAACACCCGTAGATTTACCTTTCTTACTAGCCCCCTCTATTCTGTACTCTACCAGCTTACATTTTTTACTTGTTAAGTGGTGGTAGTGATGTTTTGTTTGCTTTCATTTAAGGAAGAAACAGTTACAGAGATGGAGCGACAGAAAGGAGAAAAAAGGCAAAAAAGATCTGTTGTTGCCAATGAGGATTACAAGCCATGCCAACAAGATAGAATTTCAGAACCAAAAGTAATGGTGACGGATAGAAAACAGATCATATTCCAAGAAAAAAAAATTCATAGCTATTCATTTTCTAACAATAGGTTATTGCAACCAAATGGAGTCCTCGTCCTGCATAATGCCCCAAAGAGTTGCAAACTTAGGGCTGCATAGTGCTCTTAGGGCCCTCAGCCCTCGTTTCTTCTACCAAAAAGGGAGAGAGGGAGTATTATAATTTTTTTTAAGCTTTTCATAAAATTAGACTGCTGAGTTAGCTTTTTAATTCAAAATCTTTTACTTTCAGTCAACTAACAGAAATAATAATTTATAAAAAAAGTGTTAAAATGGGGAATAAATAGGGCAAAGTTAGATCACAGATATCAATTACAGATATTAGAAAACAAAAGATTTGATGGTATGCATAGTGTCTTTCTTTCAAATTTCTGCCCTTTAAATGGTTATTAATGCACTGACCTGGAAAGTTGCAGGGATGGTGCCATCTTCAGCTGAAAACAATGAATCATAGATGGCTGCAGTTGCTAGAGCTGTTTCCCTCTTCAGGATCTGGTTTCAAGGTAGATTACATGAAAATTTAGCAAGGTTTAAGGTTAGCTTATCTTGTGCTTTGTTTGGAAAAGTATCACTTAGATTAAATTGGACAGACATCAATGTCCAAAAGATGTCTTACATTGCTCCTTTGCAGCAAAGCATTAGTTTCACCCATTGCTCGTAGATGTTCAATTAGATCCAAGGCTGCACAAAAAGAGACATGGTTTATTGATACTGAAAAATAGTTAACAAATTACGCAATGTAAAGAATAGGAGGCCAATTAATCATATCATCATCAAAGAGTAAAAATATATGGAGGGTAAAATATACATTAGAGTTCAAACCAATATGAAATACTCTCAACGGCATTTCAAATCATGTTGATACACATTTCCTATGACTTTATCCTGATAATGGGGAATTGCTACAGCTAGAAGCATTTTCGCTGCAAGAAATATAGCATGTCACTAATCGGAAACTCTGAATGTTGCTTCAGCACCAAATCTCATTTTTTTCTTGTTTCTTAATTCATTCTGTTACCAAAGCCCACAAATAAATGTGGAAGTATTTTCATAAAAACTTTTGGGTAAACATTTTAGAGAACCTCCAACCATGCAACTAATGGAGGATTTCATTAGAATTTAGTGTTCCAATTTGCAAATTGTTCAACAATTTGTGCTAGCTCTATATACATGTCAGGAAAATAAGTTTTACAATTCTTAATAAACATGAAATTTCACCAAGACATTTTATAAGCCCATAGTTGAAACTGAAAATTTTAAATTTGATATAGATCACCTTATTAGCCAGCTATTACACTGGCACAAGTCAGAATTCAAAACTGTAAAACGTTAAGAGGAAATTCTTACCACTCTCATACCTAACCACATATTCATCAACATCAACACCAGGAAGTGCAAACCCTGCTCTAGTCAAAAGGTTGCCAGCGTCCCTGACCTGAATAAGAGAAGCTAAAATGCTGCTTAACACCAGGATGATCGAAAATGTTTACTCTTTCTTAAAAAAAATTGTTTTTGTTGTGAGGACTTTAGTTTTATTATTAAACAGACATAGTCACAACATTAAGCAATTGAAACATGATAATTTAACTCAAAACAAGCTTAATCACTTATGGCCCGTGTTGAATTTAAATCTGCATGGAAAAACCAAATTAAAATTTGCAGATTGGGAAGTAGCTTTCCCTCACACTTGATATACTATAACAGGATGCTGCTACTGTCAGTTGCCCACCATTACTAGAAATACTTTTTCACACTGACTTTTCTTACCCCCCCCCCCCCCCCACCTCCAAAAAAAAAAAAGCTATGAACAGCTTGTTTGCTTTTCTTTCTTCATGTTTGAAATATCAACATCACCATCAACTTCAGTTTTTCAATATCATGATCAACAACCCAAATATGAGATTCAACCTAGCTACTTATGTGGGTTAACAATACAACAGTTTTAATTGGAGACAGAAGAAACTCTATGAACTGTAAAAGTAATAAAGCAAAAAAAATTAGCATCCTCTAGTGCCTAGTCAAATTGGTTCATACAATTCAATTAGAACCTAATTAAGTTGGAATGCATGCTTTCAAATATCAAATTTCACAACATTGGTTCTATTGCCAACGTTATTTGCCATATAGTATTGCCAATCAACAATTTAGCATGCACATTGAAACTACGAAAAGAATTCCAGAGATGAACTATATATGCATGTATAAGTTTTCCATGTACATTGCAACATGAAGAAAAATTATGTATTCGTGACTCTGTGTGTGTGTGTGTAATATCTCCTCAAAAGTTTACATCTTTTAAGCCGCTTTTATACATAGCACAGATATAGATATATAGTATGTCAAATAAAAGCACGAGCACTATAACTCAATAGTGGAATTGCAATCGGTAAAGTAAATAATAATGAATGATAAAAAAACATAAATAAATAAGCCACTAATTGAATTATAGTATAAAAGATTGGGAGACTAAGGAAACTATCACCATTCAAGCAACTGAATTGAAAGAAAACATGTAGCAAGTTACATGCCTGTGCCAGAGGTGATACCCGTGGACTAATGCCTCCTTCACGCTCCATTTGAGCCACAGTGCAAGCTATTCGCAGCTCCCTATTCAAAAGTATAAACTATAAAGGTGAGACAGAAAGGCAACATATGCATCAATGTATAAACTACTAATCATCATAGGAAAAAAGAAAAGGGTATAGACAACTTCAAGGTTTCTCCTCCAAGTATAGCTGCTAAGAATAGGCCATCGGGCTTCAATGCCAGCTTACACTGTCATAAATACAATGAACATGACTCTGTCATGACACGGACATAGAAGCAACCTGAATATTTTGCATTTGATTGTATAGTTTATTAGAAACTCAATGAAAAGCAATACAACAAAGAGAGGCAATGGAGCAGGGAGCTGTTCTTTCAGTCTAAGCAGAACTAAAATAGATTATAAACAAGAGAAAACATTGTTTATAAATTTCCTGAGGCCTTTATATATTAAATTTATCACTCCTCTCCCATAGCACAACAAATCTCTACCTGCAATTGTAGTGAATTTAACACCTATCAATCAAACATTGATGATCTTATTCTACTACTAGCTTACACAAAAGATACACAAATGGTCATAACTCATAACATGTGTGTAAAATATTACACTTCTCTTTAAACCTGGATGCAAATTTACTACTTGCAGCCATACAAATAATTGAGAAAATGATATTTTATTATTGCTTGATGTATTTTAGGAGTATGGAAGTGAAAACTTGTCCAAAGGAGATGAGTTAAGAAAAACAAGTATTTCCTAAAAACATGGACCAAACATATGTGTGTGTGTGTGTGTGTGCATGCACTCAATAATTAAGCTTGTTATTAATTCCCACAAGCATCCCATTACTCGCTTATAGTATAACATGCATCTTCCTTCCAGCCAATGCTAAGCCATATTGCACCAAGATTTTTTTTTTCTTTTTGAATCCTATTGCACCAAGATTGACATGGATGCTTAATACACTGAAAAATAAAAGCACATACCTGTATCATGGCTCCTGGAAGATCATTTGTCCAATGGAGCCCTAGGCAACTGATTACCAAATCTACTGAACTTTATGTCAACAAATACAAGCAATTAGAATATGAAAGAAATTTTCCAACAATAACATAAAAAGTAAAATTTTCATGCATACCTTTCTTCGATGGGCAGAAACTCCTCATCGCCAACCACATATGATGTTTCAATATTTTCATTACAGGAATCTGGTTGAGAACTTTTGCACAGCTTTAACATATCATATGAGGTATCCATCATAATAAACTTTTGAATCGCACCTGGATACCAAACAATTTTCGGTATTATTTAAGTTACTAACCACAAAGGCTATCTTTGACTCAATCATTCAAATAAATCACACTTTACTAAATATTTACTAACATCAGTAACATATCTGCAAAAGTGCAGAAACAAAGGAAGATAATTTTTAAAATGAGTTATAAATAAATCATTAAAACTTGCAAGCATCAAGAGCAAGTTTGATCAGCTATTAAAGACACACTAAAGGAGTAAAAAATGGCACATTCTTTTTTTTTTTTTGGTACAAAAATGATACATTCTAGATATTGAATGAAATACATAGCTTAATGTGGTGTAAAATCGAAAATTCAGGGTCCAAGAGAAAATAAATTTTCTTGATCGATTAGAACTAAGGGGGAGAAAATAAGGGAAAATAAATGCAAAAGATACTCAAGAAATGGTTGTGGTAGTAGGAAATAAATACACAAAAAGAAGCAGTGGCAGCATAAGTTAAATATGAAGAACAAATTGACCATTATAAGAAAGTGGCTAAAGTGCAAATTTTATAAAAGTAGGATGGCTTTTTTGGTGTTTTGGCCTTTACTTAGAATGGCTCAATTTATTTGTTGCTTGTTCTACTAGCTATTTGCATCCTCAAATTTTGCAATAGCGTAAATAGTGAAAAGCAAAAACCATATTTCACTAAAAATTAGCAAATGTCCAAACGTTAACTCCATAGTTCAATATACAAGTAAAATCAAATTTTTTTATGGCCTTTAAAATAAAGTTTTTAATTTACAATCTTCTGAAATATTGTATCCAAATCCAGTTTTTATCTTTTTTTTTTTTCTTGCAAAAGCCTAAAGGAAGTAGCAAAATCAACAATCAAATGGAGGATAAAATAGACTCCAAGAAATAAACATACAATGTATAACTATAAGCACCTAAAACAAATTAAAAGATTATAAGAATCATTCTAGGATGGGAATCTATAGAAGTTTATAATCCTCTGCCTTAACATAGCAACAACCACCTCATACAATAAAACCTAAATCAGTAAACCTATGATTACATGCACGTACAATTTTGTACACTTTATTAGCAATTGGCTTTTTCTCTGCTCAAAATCCTTGAGATTTTCCTTGATTTGAAATGGGTGTTGTAAAACATTTATCTAATTGAGAAGCTAGCCTTATCCATGAAGAAACAGATAACAAAAGGAATCATATTAAGTATTTATTTCTAAAAAAAAATGTAATTAAAACAGGAGCAGAAACCATATATGATAATTTGAAAAGAAAAGCATCAATCACTTCAAGCACTACTTCTAACTAATTTAACCACTGCCACATATAAAGCTTTCAATCAAATTTATCTTCCAACTTTCCATCAATTGAAAAGGATCCCATCATTGAAATTGTTTTTCTTCTAAACGTTAAAAAGGGCACCAACTAATTGCCGTGCTAAACAACATAAATAGCAAAATAAATGGTAGGAGAGGAACTTTCTAAACTAACACTCACCACGTCCCTGCAGCAATCGCCTTACAGCTTGCAATGAACCTCCCAAACATAATGCCGTAGGAAATGTTTTCTTGCAGTCCTACAAAAAGCAAATACATAAATGATTTTCACAAATACCATTATTCCAAGGAACCTCTTCTGCTTTTGCTACTTGCTTTTTGTTTATTCTTTTTATTACTTCTTTAAAAGTTGCTAAAAGGAAAAGGCAAATGATAGAAAATAAAATCATAATTAATTAAAAGGAACAGCAAAAATAAATTGAACACCAATTCTAATATTATTTTTCTATATAAAGGTAAAATTATGCATTTTCAATAGAAAAACTTATGCCACTAAATTTATATCACTAACAATAGAAGAAACTCTAGGAAATAAAATGGTAACTAAAGCAAAGCGGATAACAACCTCCAAACGATCTAATAGATTCTCAGCTACAGCATGTACGAAGGAATCATTGGGACGCAGCAACCACGCAGCTCGATCACGCTGCCACCCAAAATATCAATCATCACTTATTGATTAATTAACAATTACTAGACTCATATAATATAAAAATGCTACTACTTGTTTGCGTTTGAGGTGGCGGTCGAATATCTTGACTTTTGAAGGGTTGCTTTGAAAGGCGTCGCCATTTTCATAGTCCGCAGTAGAGAAGGAAGCGGATGATAGGAAGTAGGGTTTGGTTGTTGGTCTTGTTTTCCTTCTCCACAAGGAACAACTCGTTTCATAGAAAAGGGAGCTCTTCATTCTTCTTCTTTCGTATCAATGTGTTGTGACTAAGAAAAGGAAACCAAAATTGATTAATTTACGTTTTACATCCTTATGTTTCCTTCTGCTTCTAGAATCCTTAATTAAAATGATGACTTAATTAATCCTACTCTATTTATCTCTCTCAGACATTTTGTCGAACAATGAGTACGCAATATTAATGTAAAAGGGTAAGAACCCCTACTTGAAAAATGACGGCAGACAAGTGCTTGAAGGAGGAGCGCCCAAGCCTTGAAAAATGAGTCGGTGGGCGGCTCTGCGTTAACTAACTGACGAATCCGAGGGAGACCAAATTGGAGAAGTGAAAGTGAAACTACAGTCTACATAGCTCTATTAATCTGCCTTCAGAAATTAGCGTCGTTTCGGACACATTTGAGTAGGGTATAATTTGGTTTGGTTTTCAAATAAAAATAATTTTATTTTTGGATAAAGAGGAAAAAAAGTACTTAAATTATAATTAAAAAATTATTTAAATTTTGACGGTGACTAAATATACCCCACTTTTTTTTTTTCACATCTCAATTTTTTTAATATTTTTTAAGTATAATTATTTAATCATTCTTTCTCTTTCACATGAGTTTCTAAAAAAAAAAATTTCAAAAAATCAAACTTTTTCAAAAAAATTTTTAGAAAGTCACCCAAAAAGTTTATTATTTTATGAAAATCTATTTTTAGAATGTGAGATAGTGAAAATTTAAGAAAATTAAAAAAAATTATTAAAATTCTTTATTAATTAATGTAATAAAAGATTATTAAAAATTTTGATTCTAAAAAAATTATTAAAAATTTTATGAAATTTTAATTAAATATTTTGTTTTTTAATATTATAAGATATAATGAAAAAATTATTAAATCTGATCAATATCTAAAAATTAAAATTCTTAAAAGTTGTACAAATAATATTATTTCATACTACTTAATTTTGTCAAAATTTAATATATTAACCAAAAAAATCAATTGTGATAAGTAAATGGAGAGATTTTTTAAAAAAATTCAGTTTAGTTAAAACTATTATAAAATTTTAATAACTGATACCAAGAAAAAATATTGATTAAAAAATATGCATTTTAAATTTATAAAAAAATTAAAATAATAAAATTAATTTTTTATTAATTTTAAAATTTATGATTTTTTAATAATTATTTTTTTATTACATCAACTAATAAAAATTTCTAAAAAAATCTTAAATTTTCACTATCACATTTTTTAAAATGGATTTTCAGAAAATCTTATAACTTTCCGAAAATCTATTTTCAATAAAATTTATGATTTTCTAGAAATTTATTTTCAGAAAATTACATGAATTTTCAAAAATTCATTTCCAAAGTTATAAAATTTTAAAAAATTGTAAGAAAAATAATTAAATAATTTCACTTATAAAAAATTTAAAATAAAAATTGGAGTGAGAAAAGAAAAGATAAGGTACATTTAATCCCTCTCTAAACTTTTAATATTTTATTACAATCAATCAAAATTTTAATTTTTTATTTCGATTCAATTAAATTTTAAATGGATGAAATTTAATCAAATGTCAAAATTTAATCAATTAATTAATTTATATATATATATTAATTGTCACATATGATACTTTCATTTATTTTGATGTCACATGAAATTTTATTTTAATTAATAAAAAAATCCATGGTGTTATTTTTTTTTATCTAAAGAAAATCTTAATTAGATGTAAATAATAAATATTTGAAAGATTGATTTATTGCAATAAAAAAATAAAAATTTAAATGATTTTTTAAAAAATATAATTGAGCTACTTTTTACATCTTTTAACTCTTTTTTTATGAAATAAACATTAAAATACTATGTAGAATATATTAAAATAATATAATACTCTGGGCTAGAGATCCAAAATTGTTAAAAACAATTTCTTCAGTTAGTATTAAATTCTTTTTAATTTTAGAAATGGGATATTTTTTATAGAAAAATAAAAATTATCAAGTGAAAAAAGTAAATAAAAATATTTATAAATACATAATGCATTTTTTTTGGTTTGTACTAGTTTCATATGTAAAAGATAAAACAAAAAAAAAATTTCAAAAATAGTAGTGTTAAGTTCAAATTTAATTCAATTATTTTAGTTAATAAATAATATTATAAATTTTAAAAAATTATTTAAATCAATTAATTCAAACTAAATTTTTTTGACTTAATTTATCAAATTTTAAAATAATTTGTTATATTTTTAATATATTAAATATATTTAAATATAAAAATATTAATTTTATTTTATAAAAATTTAAAATACATATAAAAACTAATAAATTGATAAATTGATTTAGTTTAAGTATTTTCTTATCTATTTACTTTTCAATTCAAATTTAATAAAAATATTTAATATCCAAATTTAAATAGAATAAAATAAAAAATAATCCCGATCAAGTAAAAATTATAATTTCAAATGGGATTTTTTATTTGTTTAGTTTTTTTCTTTTCTCACCCTCCTTTAAGCACAGGTCTTACAAACTTTGACTAAATGACGTACCTAGCGCGCTCGTCTCATATTTCATGATTTCATCCAATTTCAGGGTTTTTTTTTTTTTTTTTTTTTTTTTTTTAATAATGTAAAGCAGCGATGATGTTTAATGAAATTCCAGACTCAAATTTGCTGGACCTAAATGGAGAGAGCGGCCTGGCTAACGCCTGACATTGATAGAGGCCGTCATTTTTTTCAAATATTAAAAATTTTTTGAATTATTTTATTTTTAAATAAATTTTTATATTTTTATTATGTTTAAATAAGTTTCTATTCTTTGATTTGCATTCAAATAAATCTTTATTTTAAATAAAGAAATGATTTAGAGTAAAACTTATTTAAATATAAATTAACTCCATCAACCTCAAACTGAGTAAGGAACTCTTAAATCTTACCTAAAAATAAAGGCATGATACTTACACGAGTCCAAGAAATACAATTGGGTATAAGGGTGTTATTTTAATATGCTAGCTCATGGAAATCACCAACAACCTTTTAATCTTACTCTTGGTTTACGCAGTTAGAGATCCAGAATTCACCTCTCTTTGCTCAAGTAGTTCTGTAAGAGCAGCATCAATTTGTGCAAACACATTTTCCTTGGCCACATTTCCATTAACCTGAAATGAGCCACCCCGAAAAGTTTGTCATACCTGCCTAAATATGTGCCTGTGAAGTCAGTTTGAATATTCTCTTCAAAAAAATAATTAGAGATAATTAAACTTAATCCACCTGCATGATAATACCTTTACTAATTCCCTTTTGTGTTTTCATTTTTAATTCTCACACATAATTATCCGCAAACATTAATCTTGAAAATGAATTATACATCAAACATGATATTTCATTACAAATATGGATACTGGGTTTGAAACTTCAACATCAACGTAATATAAGCAATCGGATCATCCAAGATTTATGCACGCCACTATAAGTTGATGACTTACAACCACATATTGATGACATTCAAACTAAAGGCATCATGACTTATGTGTATCGTCAAGCTTGGACAAAGTCTGAATTCTAGTTGCTTTGTGTAGCGAGGAGGTTTTAGATGTTGACTCTTTGCCATCAGAAAGAACAACAGCACCTTCATGAAACTTTTCTGGCAATCCATTGTTATTTAAACTCATATTATCATTGAATTAAAACATCTACTTTCACTAACCATGCCAGTATTCTCACCACCCTAACTCATTCTAGTGCTTTAAAGAAGAAACAAGATACAAAAATTCCTAACCTCTTTAATTGTTTGTGTCACAGTATTCCTATAATCACATTACCAGAATATGTGCATGTATGATCGATCTTTGAGTTGAATTTGATTAGGAAGATAAGGAAGGTGGGGTTGATGCTGGCGCAAGGCCATGACAGGTCAAGAAAAGGAAAAGAGAGAGAGAACTCAAATGATAGAGATCAGAAACAAAAGGCAATAATGGTAGTAGACGTCAATTTTGAGTATCTTAATTAGAAAATTTCAGCAAAGTTTAGTAAAATTTTGAAAAAATTAGAGTTCTAAACCTCCAGAATATAACCAACCAAAAGCACTTTTCTCAATACTCCATAACCGCATCTATGTTAGTAGACTTAAAATGGCTCGGGATTCGCAAATATAATACCCAAGGTGAAGTCAGACAAGTAACTAACCGGTAAGCACATTCAGTTTTTCATTTCTTGCTAACCTAATCTAGACCTGGCAATTCAAAACATGATATGTTGATACGACACAAACGATAAAAAAAAAAAACACAAAGGGGACATTGTTTAATATTTTAACAAAAACCATGTATGGGTTTAACAAAAACCAAAACTGATATTTCATGTTTTCTGTGCTGACACAAATTACAACATATAATTTTCGTGTAAAATAAGACATGAATACACCAATTGTCAGTGTTTTACTCGACACAAATATGCGAATAAACAAGTCTGGCTTAAACCAAATAAAATAAAGGGAAACCAAACAAGACTTAACTATATTTTGCTTCAGATTTAGTATGGCGTCAATGTTAGAACTATTGAGATATGCCAAACTTCCTTGTTCAGATTTTTCAAAGAAAAGAAAAACAATGAAAACAAATATTCTATAATTCTAACAAAAACATAAAAGAGAACACCCAAAAATTCAAATAAATAGTTTTTAGAATTCATAAAATTGAAAGCTTGTCTCGAAGTCTAACTTGATCTTAATAGACTGGTTCCAACAAAAATAAATAAAACAAACCAAAAATCTGGTCAGATTTTCATCCAAATATGGCTGAGGATCTCTGGTTAAATTTGGCAAGATCAAAAAGAAATTCTAGCCTCAAATAAGACAAGAAGAGAAAAAAAAAATGAAAAGAGGAACTAGATTTGCAAACATAAGCTAAAAGTGGTAGGAAGTAGGTTGATTTCAAGGAAGAAGTAGTTATTAAGTGGTTTGATGAGCCTAAGAAGCAAAGATGTCTACCTCTAGCTTTTGGACAAAGGAGTTCAGTTGGGACTTGACAGAAATGAGAATGCTTTTATTAATGATTTGATATTACATATAATTTAATTTTAAAAATTACTTTCAACATTTTATTTTACTGCATGAAGCTTTTCCCTCTTTGATTTTATGTATCAAAACATTAAAATTTTATCTAAAATTCTTACATTGAAAATAGGAACTTTCCGTTTAATGTCACCGAGCCAATACTCCCCTTTATTTTCCATCTTTGCCCAGAAAATTTCTCTTACATTAAATATCATCATGTTCACCAGTGTTTCATGTTAGTTATATTAAAATGTATGAATTCAGCGTGTTTGGACATTAATGGGTTAGTATTAAACCTGAAACCGAAAAGAGTATGGTTTTCAAGTTACGAATACTAAAATTTGAACCTTTTAATTATAAAGTCAAACCAAACTGCATAAATGATT